CTACTGCTCAAAGAAAATTTTAGTTAAGGATTATTTCATAGACTCAAGACTACGGCAAGACAGGGGTTTGGACAGTTAAATTAACAAAGAATTTGAATGACTTGGAGATTAATGACCTCACAAACCTTCTTAATTCCTTTTTTCAAGTGGTGGTTTCAGAGGGTCCAAAAATGAACCTATATGGAACCTCAACTCTCAGGGACTTTTTTCTACAAAGTCATAGTATTTACACTTGACTAAGAGAGAGAGAGAGACTTAGTGAAAGGTTCCTCTCGAGGCTAATTCGGAAACTGAAAGTGGCTCATCTTTCAAGCTGGACAAGCTGCTTTGTTGTGTATCCTAAGTATGGACAAGCTAATCAAGAGGGAAGAAACCTGCTAAGTGGTTGCCATTTGTGTAAAATGATGCAAAAACATGCAATCATACCCTTTTAATGTATGTATGTTCATTAATTTGGTCCTTGGCTTCTAACCCTATGGGTCTAAGTTGGGCTGTTGTTATTATGAGAAATGAGTTGTGGACATAAAAGGCACTCAAAATGATAAGCAATCTTTATGAGCTATCTTTTTGGCTATCTTTTGAGTCATTAAAAAAAAAAAAAAGAGGAATAAGAGAGCAGTCAAGGGGTTAGAATCTATTTTTTGGATAGATTTAAAGATTCTTGACTCCAGATCCTAAGTTTTTCGATAAGGAGCTAACTAACCGCTACATTCTAGCAAGAATCTGAGGGGTCTAGTAGATATCTTGTAAGATATATAACTATTTTTTATGTAAGTTGCACCTCGTTTATGCTCTTCAAAATACTCAAGTTTTCTTCTCAAAAAAAAATAATAATAGTGCTCTCCCCTCACTTCATCTTCCTTAACAAAGAGCACTTTTCTTACAAGAAAAAATTTAAGTTCTCAAAAGTCAGTTATAACATGCTCTAAGGCTTGATATATCCTCTTTCTCCATGTACAAACTATATAGACAAGCAATGCAGTAGCCCAAGAACATGTGTCAAGAAAGAAAATCCTACAAAATCAGCAATCAAGGATCACTGGTCAAACATGGGGGAATCAACCATACCAAACAATGTGCCACTTGACGTGCACATTCCAAGAACAAGCTAACGAACTCCAAATCCAATAAATCAAAATAAATAAGAATGAAATGCTGGATATCAAAGAGACAGAGTACTGGTGCATGACTCACCTTCTTCTTCTTCACAGGGTTGAGGATCTTGATGATACATTTCTCATTGCCCGTGCAATGTACACCCTCAAACACCTCACTGTACTTCCCCCTCCCAACCTTCCGCACCACCTCATAATCATCCTGCTCCCTGTATCATCATAGAAACAACCTTGTTATCATTCATTCATTTGATAATAAAACATGAAGAAATTGAAGAACTTCGAGTTTGAATCACCGGTGATCCATCAAAAGTCTGAAAACAAAAGGGTCATGCAGAAATGAGCTGAAGTATAACTACTAACCCAACAAACTCCGAGTCCAGTAAATCATACTAAATAAGAATGAAATGCTGGAACTCAAAAGGGAAACGACGCATTCTTTCTTTGAAGGTTTAAGGATATTCAGTCCTCCCCCCACCCAAAAGAAAATAAAAGAAAAAAAGAAAAAAGCCCCTCAACCAAGCCATAACAGTAATCTTAGCCTAGAATAATAAACAATGAGACAAGCAATATTCGATTAAAGTCCACAATCTTCAACTCTACCCCCGATATCCTCAATACCAAACAAAATAACTCTAACTGTGAAGTCCCCTAAGCTTTTTTGCATTTTCTTGCCAACCAAACAAATGGATAAAAACAATCAATAAAAGGGGAAAAACTTAAAAGCGACAGAAAGAAGAGAGCGAGAAATTACCCCCATTGAACAGTGAGGGACTCATAGTCCCAGTATTCCTTGGGCCTGACGACGTTGATATCGGAGTAAACCCTAGCCTTGGAGGGCGCGCCAGGGCGCCTAACCGATTTGCCGATCTTCTGCGCCAGTGTTTCGGGCGTTGCAGCCAACTGTGTCGGACGGTTTTGTCTCTGACTCTGTTGCTGCTGCTGCTGCCGCAACTGCCTGTGATGAATCGATGCGCTAGAGCTTATTCCACGCAGGATTTGAAGAGACGCAATCCGAGGAGAGGAATGAAATGGAAGCGGTTGCTTCGGTGCCGCCTTTGTGGATGAAAAAGAGAAGAAGACGAAGAGGGATAGGAGCTTGCTGCTATGGCGAGAGGAAGAGATTGTGAATTGAAAGGGCCCTATGGCCATCAATTCTTTATTTGGGGAACTAGTCGGAACGGAGGATTCCGTTTCTTCTCTTTTCTCTTTCTCGCGCTCCCATTTTTTCACCAACCTCTTCTGATTTTTTTACGTACTTCTGGAAACGGCATCGTTTAAGGCTTCTAACTCCCAGGGAATTACCAATTGGGATAACGTTTTTAGTTTTGAAGACCCCACCTCATAATCTATATTTAAAAAAAAATCCTTTAATTCCTTACTATTTTAGATCTTTTTTGTTATTATTTGTGTGATTTTATAAATTTTTAGTTATTTTATTTACTTAATTATTAATTATTTATCTTTTAATAAATTTATATTTGTTAAACTCCTTTGGACAATTTAAATTTAAATTTATATAAACAGATAATTATATGAAATTAATTAAAAGATAATTATTTTGTTCGATAAAACTGTGTTATATCATATGTTATTAATTAAGTATGACTAAAGTTCAGATAATTATCAAATATTATTTTTGTCATTTATAAATAAAATGATATGGATGATATTCACATCTTATATATGCATATTTTTATTTTAAATAATATAATTTATTTTTCTTAAATAGTGAATTAAAATTTGATTTAAAAATTATCTATGATTGTTTAATTATTAAATTTTTTATACTTAATTTAAATATTATAAATTTAGATATCGTTAATAATATAGAATTCGCTATTTTATATACGTATTATAAACCAATGATGATCAGTGTATAATATTTTATTCAACGAATATCATAATTTAAATTATTATTGTATTAACACAATTATAATAATGAATTTAAGTATAGTTAAAATAGTAATATTATATATAAATAAAAAGAACATTCAATATTGATTATGTTATATAAGTTAAAATAGCTACGAGTAGATGATTGTTTTTAAAAAATGATTTTATAGAAAAAAAAAATTAAATAATTATATGGAATTTTGTATTTAAATATAAAAATAATTGTTAAAAACCCTTGGTATTTTTTATATTTACAAATATATATAAATGCATACATTATGAAAATATATACATAATAATTAAAAAAACAATCTTATAAACGAATCCAAAAAAAAAAAAAAAAGAGAGTTAGAATTGCAACAAAAATCATGATGGGACAAAATTAAAAAAGAAAGTTGTATGGGAAGGTAGTATCTTAGTGACATACATTGTTGCCATAATTGAATTTAAATAGGTAGTTAATTAATATATAAATTTTAAAAATTTTATATAATTATTCATAAACTATTAAATTAATATAACTAACATAAAATAATAAATTTATATAAATTATAAAAAAAATATCAAAAAGTATTTATAATAAAATAAAATTAAAAAAAAATAATACAAATACAAATTTTACCCGTTATAAAATATGAACCAGTTGTTTTGTCACTCTAAATTGGGAGCTTCTAATGAATCTTCCCTTTCTTTAAACGAATGGAAAGAATCTCTTTCCCCCAAAAAGAAAAGTAAAATAAAGCACATGCCTTGCCCATCAAGAAATCCTATGGTTCTATTAGGTTAGTTGCTTTTAAATAATCCACAAACATACATTTTAATTAATATATGAAATAATTATATGTTTATATAGAAAATTGACGGCCGGTTCATTTGGGTCCAACTTAGAAACTTTTATAATATACTTTCAATACAACCCAATAATTATTTCATTGTTTATTATATATATGATATGCATAAGCATCTAGGTGTTAGTCCTACAATTTCCATAATCAAAGTATTAGTACTCATCTTTAGTTATTAAATGGACCGTAAGTGGGCCTGGCCAATTTATTAACCAGGAGAACATGCTGGACCATGGACCACTGCTGTTAGTTAAAGTCAAAGACGTAACCAAAGCCTAACTACCATTGGCTGCTACCGTCAAATTACGGGCCAATCCAATGTCCACGTCTTATCTCCTTCAGGGTCAAAAAGAGTTGGCTCTTCTGCCTCCTCACACATTGACCAGCAATAATAAATAAATAAATAAATAAATAATTTGATTTTAGGTTGAATTATAATTTAAAATAAAATGATTATATTTTATGACGTACTAAAAAAAATAAAAATTAAGAGATTTTTAAAATTTTTTAAAATTAAATAAAAATATAAACACAGAACTTAATGTTTGTTTAATAAATTTGTAAATATTAAAGTTCAATTAATTAATTATTGTATAATATATTTGTAATAGTAAAAAGCAGATTACGTAAATTTTCATATAAAATTTTTGAATTTAGTATAAAAATGAAAATTTAAAATAAAAAATCCAAACAGTGGGAGGCAGGAAGCGTTAAGATTTGAAGATCAAATTTTGGTTGGATCCGACCCGTATGTATTCGTATCAGGAGGGGCAAAGCCCAATATAGGAAACAACGCGGGAAAACTAGAAAGTGGATTGTTCAGCGGATGAAGTTTTTAGGGTTTAAATATATTTAATTTTTTATTTGTATAAAAAAGGGAAATAACTTCCAACGGAATAAATTGAGGAGCCTCCAAGTTCGGAACCGAAGGAAAGGCGAGAGGCAGAGAGAGAGCGGCCATGGATGAGGTTAGGGCAAGTTCTGTTTGGGTAGCGACTCGCTCTTCTCATGTCACTGTTGACTCCTCAGGTCCGTTTCTCTGCAAATTTACGTTCGGATAAGTTCGCATTCCGCGCTCTGTTTTTACGTTCGAGCGTACTGGAAAATATTATTTTGGTTCTTATGTAACCTCGAATGGTGTTTTCGTACGTGTAGGGATTGAGAAGGTTGTCGAGGATATCAATGGTTCGATCCCTAAAGTGGAGTGGGATTATGAAGGGATTCACTACTTTGATAACGGCCCGCTCACTGTTCAGTACCTCTTTGTCTTGGACGCTTTGAATTTCTGCTTCTGGCCTGGTATGTCATACACGTGCATGGGCGTCCGCATGCGTATATTCTTATACGGTTGTTTTTGCTTGTTCGTTCCCCGTTGTTGGGCATTTGGTTAGTTTTACGGTGTCTGGTAAGGCTGTTGTTTAAACGAGGCTGTCTCTGATTGAATTTGAGAACGTTAATGTGGAATTTGCTTGACTTCAAGCTAATTCTGGAGTACGTATAACTACCCAACCGTGTTTAGTTTGTATCTCTAACCAAAAGTAGATAAACTAACATCGCCATTTCATACTGTGTTTTGTTCCTGCGGTTGTCAAATGAAAGCTTCCCATGGTTTTGTGCATTACGCCTTGAATTTGTTATTTTATTGGTCCTTGTTACCTCATGATTTTCTGTCTTTTGCTGTCATTTAACAATAGCGTCAATGATGCTCTCTTTAGACTGATTTGACTTCAGCTCATTGTTGGGTATTTGTGGCTTATATGATTTAACAACTTGATGTCAAAATGTCTTATAGGGGCCTATTTTTGTTTTTCTGTTCCTTTCCCGTGTTGCTTATTCTTTATAGATGAGGATTTGAATTACGATCATTTGGCGTTGGGCCTGAAGATTGCTTTGCAGAATGACAAATCCGCGTTTGATGCTGATCGTCTCCAAAAGTACACTGGTATTCTGTTTCTTGGATCTCTATTATTTGGAATTGAATATTTTCCAGGATATGCAGAAGTCTTTTCACGTAGACAACTAAAGCACGCTAACCTAATAATTGTTATTAGATTATAAATAATAGGTTGGACCCTTTTATCAGCTCAAAACTTTAGGGATGATTGACAATAATTGATTATTTCACATGTACTGGAATCAGAAGTATAGAGTTTTGCGGATTTTCCATCCTAATAGTTATGTATATGAGGAACGTATTAGAGTAAAAATAGTAGAATTTCTATCTTTTTATTAACTTAAAGTCTTGGGATAACTGGCCATAACAAATTATTTCAGAATTGCGTGTAGACCAAAAGAAGCAAGATTTGAGACCAAAGAAAAATGCTGATTGGCTAGACAAAAAGGTCAGATAGGAATTATGGGCTTCCATGTTATACTTCTTGAGAGCGCTTGTTAGTCCTAGATAATTTAATATTTTCTGAACAAAATTTATATCAAATTTAACTTGATTGCTCCAGAAACAGTGGAGGAATATTAACAACCTTGATATATATTTGAGAGGGAAAACAGGATTGCAAAAGGTCATAAATTTTTGCAAAATAAGCATTTGTATATTGTTCCTTCGATTTATGCATTTATTAGAACGTAAAAAATTGTAAAATCATTTTATATCCTATTAATTAAATTTTTTAAAATGCCTAACTCAGTTTGTGATTGCAAAATAATGAGATCAATTTTGCTTTTTAGGTTGTGAATTACGTGAGCTATTGAAATGGCCAAGACCACTTCCTTTGGAGGATGAACGAGTACGCTTGCTTCATGAGGTAGAAGATATCCTCCTGTCATAGAGCTGTAAATTGATGTCTTTTACTGATATTACTTGTCTAGTTGCTTGAAGTTCCAGTCCTTCACCTGCTTTCTACTTCTGATGGCGTGGAGTTCTATTACTAAATTGCCAAACCGGTTGTTTGACATGGTTACGAATTATGTGATGTAGGTTGGGCAGGAACTGGAACGAAGCTTTGGGGGCAAAGCGTCCAATATTGTGGAATCCTGTGGAAAATCAGCTGCACAGCTTGTTGCTCTTGTGACACGTCATTTCCCGGGTATTCCTAACATGATTGTATGTAAAGTTTTAATGGTTTTCTTGTAAAGAAGCTGGATTTCAAATCACTGATGTAAATAAAATCATTTAGGTTTCCGGGATCACTCACTGTATAAGGGCAGGCAGGTATTCTTATATAAAAGAGCACAGATATTTTCTGCAGATTTATGGGGTGCATTCAAAGGCCAGAGTTATGGAGAATTTTATGATATTGGTTCAATTACTATGTTTGCGGATTATATTGTGCCTGCCGTTCTTCAGCAGCTTGGTGTGCTTAAATATAGTTCAAGCCTTGCCAGCACCATTGAGGCTAGTAGTGAAATAGTTCCTGGCAGTGAAGAGGAGGTTGAACTACGAGCCTGCTCTGTATATGCTGTGGAGAAAATGAGGGAGTTGCTCAATATAAAATCAGGAAAGCAGGTGAGGCTGAACTAGATAGGTGGAGAGAGAATTACATTTTTTTATTTATCTGCTCATCGGCTAAGACCTTTATTTTTTATTCCTGTCTAAATATCTTGTAACTTTTATCATTGAATTCTTAGACTAATTTCTTCACTGAAATGTTGTTCAGAACCATTATTCAGTATGGTGCTTCTGTTTTTCTTTTAACTTAATACTTTATGAAACTTATCTTTCCTCTTAGTTGAGCATTGGTTTTGGGTCTAATTCAAAGCACGGTCCTTTTATTTTATTCTTCAGTTGAATTCAGGAAAGGACTTGGTTTAATTTCATATGCAATGTCTATCCTCTTCGTTTCTCTTAATCGTGTTACTTATCTTTTCAGGTATTGAGTGTGGAGTTGGACCTTTGGCTTTGGTCTGTTGGTGTTCAATGCAAATCTCTCCAACATCATCGTACTCTCTCAATATATTACTGAGTGGAGCGTATGCTGCAGTTGCCTTCTTATTGTTTATCTCCCAAGGAGGGAGCTTTGGCTCAGAAGAAGGTAATCACAGAGGAGAATTGAGAAATTAGACGTGACATTCTTCTTCGTGCACCCACCTTGAAAAGCTATATTTTTATACTTTTCACAACTATAGCTAGGATTATAAAAATCGGTCAATATTTAGTTAGTAGATGAAATATTTTATCCAGCAAATGACTGTAGTCAACCATCCATTTATCCTTTTCGTTAGTTGCATGAACATCTAGGAACTGATGGCTCTGTAGTCACCTAGCAAATAGAACTAAGGTTTCTTTGATAATTAGATCACGTTCCATGGGAAGAAAACATTTGCTTCCTTAAAATACTTATAGTCTCTTAAATTTAGAATATGGACATGGATTTGCTAAGATTTACAGCTTATACTGTATGTTAAGCAACCGTTCAAGTTTGTTCTTTGGAACCCATGGATAAATTTCGAAGTAATTGCTTATTTTTTGTTGATATCACCTCCGAAGTATGGGATTTAAATCTTAAATTCATTGAGGACAACTTAATTGTGCTGGCCTAATTCTGATTAGGTAGTTCTGCCAAGCTAATAAGATCAAGTTAGTGAATTAACAATTAACCAACTGCAGGTTACCCTCATTACAGGAACGGTTTTTCTTTCTGAATACAATTAATAATGTCTTTTTGCATATCTAGATCCCTTCTAATAATGAAGCATGGCATGCTATAATGCTGGACAAACTATTCAATGAAGCACTAATTTTTTGCGTAACGGTTGAAAAATTTTAAACCTTCTCTAGAGTCGTAACTCCATCCTTGATGGTAATTGTGCTTGGCTATACCTTCAAAAGAGGTTAAGCAAGATCATTCCATATATATCATTACATTGGGCGGGCACTGGCTGAAATATAACTTCTTACAGGATATTCGTATCTCCTTCCTAAAGATGTTACTTATCATTTGAGGTACATACTTACCTTGGCACATAGGAGAAATCATCATAGCTGCAATTTATTATTCCATCCACTGGAAATTATTTGCTTGTCTTAATTTGCTCCCTTTTTATTGCTATGTCAAGGCTCCCAGGTTCTTCGTGGTGGGTAAATTACCATCATAGGTGCATTTCAGGACATCTGGTTTCCGGACTAGATGGGGACCAATTGGAACCTTGCCAGTCTTTGGTCGAATATCCTGTATGAGTATAATCAAAACTTAAACTGCCTATTCTTTCTCACTTTTTAATGAAAAATCTCAAATTTAAAAAATTGAGCATTCTTTTTTAGTCATCTTGAGTTGTCACATTGATATGTCCGCTTCTCAACCATATAGGTAAATTTCTTGTTTATATTTCAAAATGTTTATATTTAACTGCTGTTGATAGGACCTGAATGCTCGTTCAACTTTCAAGTAGCTTATGTATTGTATAGAAAATTCTATTAGATAAATTTCTTCCTGAAAACTAGTAACTTAACGACATTTTGGCTAATATTACAGATTAGGTATCTATAAACATTCACATGCAGAAAATGTTCCTTATTTCCTTGCTTATGTGGAAAGTACGAGTAGTATTTTTCCATGGATAGGCATTATATACAAGCATAGGCTTTTTTTTTAGAATCAAAATATAGTATTATTCTGAAATTCTTTCTTCTTTCAATCATTAGAAGCTTTGCTTTAATTGAAGAATTGAATGTTTAGGATGGTTAGTTATATTTGCATGGAAAAATTTGGGAATTAATTACCTGATCAAAGATAGCAGTTGGAATTGCAAGGGTTGCAACAGCATTAGGAGAATCAACTATCCCTGAGATCCTTCCTTCGCATGGACAGCATGATAGCAGTATATACATCTGATGATGACCATCATATCTTTGATATCAGATGCAGTTTATTTTCTGAAGTCATATGATGATTGTCTGAATTTGGAAATTTTTTATATGAGGAAAGATCAAACCTGTTCTTTTGAGTAGCCAAATTTAGAGAGGTAATCAATGGCATTGAGTACAGCACGTTTATAAGCAACACTTGCATCAAGATAATGTTGCCTCCCTCTTTCATCAACACTGATGCCCTCAAACACCAGCCATTCTGAGAATCTTGGCTCAACTGGGCCTATCTCAAAGATTGGATTAACATGAAGAGGAGTTGGTCCCATTGGGGTAAGGTACTCTTTCATTCCACCTCTTATGATTTCACACCTGATAGCGAATGAAGTAGTTAATTGTTATTGGATATTTGAAATTTGAATTGTAAATATAGCAGTTGCATTGGATTCTGTAGAAAAGTTGGATTGGGAATGGATATAGCTTCTAAACACAAGTAGAAGCCTAATAACTTTTGTTGAGAGATTTCTCTGGATAGATATGATCTCCCTGAAATACTATTTTGTTATTGCTTGTGTCTTCTGATAAACTGGATACGCATAGTCTGTGTCAGGATATTTATGGTATGTAACTAGTATGTGATACAACCTGTTCCTCAAATATTTAAAAGTAGTGTTAGGAAGAAAGGCTTTCTTCAAAATAATCTGGATGATCTGTTCATCTTGATATCTTGGGAAGTATAATCAAATTCTCTTCTTGCAGATTTTATTGGGTGCTTATCAATATAGTGTATAAAGTTTTTAACATATCACAGTAATGTGAAAAAAAGGGGTAGAGCATGTACTTGAGTTCTAAGAAACCACTCATCTCTATTGCCCCGCAGAATGAGACTTCACCGTCGCCCTGAGAGAAGTGCATGTCACCTGTACTAAGATTTGCTCCTTCTACAAATACTGGGAGGTAAATTTTGGAACCTCTGCTTAAATTCTTGATGTCACAATTTCCTCCATTTTCTCTTCCCGGAATAGTCCTTGCAGCCTCTTTAGCAATCTTTTCCCATTCTTGGGTTCCTTCTTGGATCTACAAGATATTGACCTATTATCAGAAACCTGCTATAATAGTTGAATCCAAATCCTTAAAAGTTCACAACTATGTGTTACATGCGTGATGGCAATATTTGAAAAAAAATTTAACGCTATTCTAGTTAGAAATCTTTATCAGGCAACAAAATATGTAAATACTTATTATAATGCCAAACTATGCAGTAGATGATTGCATGTGAATTGGAGAAACTTAAACTTGGTTTCGACATCCTTTCGGCATTGATAGTACTTACTTTTCCTAGGAAGCATCCTCTGGTTGATGGTAGGTTTGCTAATGGTCGTTGATGCAGAACCTCACACAGAGACGAGGTCTGTAGACCATTTTCTTCTATTTGTCTTTCCCTTTCATTCCATATACTTAGGAGTTCCATCGACGGTGCAGTTCCGATAATTCCAGGGTGAGTTAAACCTGGAAATCGCACCCCTGGTATACATAGGACTATATGATCGCAGCAACATATTCATGTCCTTAATTTTCACTTTTTGTTGGGAAGCTTTATTAATCATTTACAAGCATGACTGGTTAAAGAAAGAATTATGCAAAAAAGTTCACCTGGTATTTGAGGGGAGTAAGCATAAATTCCTTCAAAATACCAAATAGCTTTGCTTGCACTAGGAAAATGGTCTGTCAAAAAGCCACCGCCGTTTTCTCTGTCAAATATTGCAGTGAAACCCCATTCATCTCCTGGGAGAGGACCCAAGTTGCATATTTCAACTGCAAGAAGATCCCCTGGCTTGGCTGGATTGCCATCCTGGTCTAGAACTCTGATTGGTCCACTCAGGTAATGGACCTGTCCAATCATATAGCATTTTAGTTAACAACTCCGATGTTTATCCAATTCTTGGTTGTCAAAGTTAAACATGTTCTCCTAGCAGATTTAAGTATCGACAGCTACATAAATATGAAATGTTTTCAATTCACTTGTTACTTTAGAACTAAATACTGATTTACAGTAAATATATGGTCACTCTTTCTCTGAGAGATTGCAGTTTAGTACTTACTGCGGAAAGGTCTAAGTATTTTACATCAATTGCGGAGTCATCATCTTTGATAACACCTCCTGTCCAGTCTACCATCTCTACCCTAAAAAATTCTCCAGCTTTAACTTCAGCGACAGAGGGTATTTGAGGGTGCCATCGGTTGTGAAGGGGCAGCTTCTGCTCCCAAGGTTTCTTCTTCAGATCTATTGGCACCACTCTTCTTGGAGTTAGAGGAGCCATGGGTGCTGCTGTGGAGGTACAAGGAATACAGGGATGGCCTGTTTGTAGACTATACTGAAGTCTAGCCAAATAGTAAAAGGATGTAGATTAGAATCCCATACAATTATTAGCTGACAAATGGGAGTGACAAATTTTGGGGATGGTCCCCATTTACTTTCTCCAGGCCATTGGATAGTACTTGTCAAAGTTTCTCTCTCTTATCGCCAAAACTAGGCCGGTATCTTCAATATATGAAAGTTTGTAGTAGAAGCTAGGAAACAAGATTTGCGTGTTGAAAAAGTAGATCAACGAAATAGTTTGGTCTTGAAGTCTTTTCTGTAAAACTTCTAGGGTGTTGTAGCATTTGTGAGGGTATAACTGGTGTACTTCTGAATGAAAAATGCATTACATGATTAATAAGATCAAGCAGAAGAGAGGATTTTGCTAAGTTCTGTTCATGTATGCATCATAGATTGCTAACCTGTCTAGGAAAGCAAGAAACAGTTATGCCATTATAGCCAAGGTGGAAAATAATGGAAGGCAATCCCATGTTATGTTACAGTGACTAAAGTTGTTGATTGTGTATGCCTTTTTGTTTTAACTTAGACTGTTTTCTAGCAGGAAAGATTGAACTCCCTTGGAAATCTCTGTTATCCCATCCATAATTATGACCTCGCATCCGAGAATACTTTATTTAGGAAACATGGTTACTCTGTGCTTATACGGGATTAGCATTTTAAATTATTCCTTCAGAAACTAGCAGAGGATATCCATGTTACTGTTGACTTTTTGTCTGATAATTATTCCTACATGTGTGTTCTCTATTATTTCATGATGCTTAATTATTTTTGCTTTCACGAGTGTTGGTTATTGTTTAATAATATGGAACCTGTACCTTGAACTAGTTAGAAAAGACCACAGTATAAGTCTAATCAGTGAAGCTAGCAGTTATAAGATCCGGTGAGATTGAAAAAGAATACCGATAGAACAAGCAAAATCTAGAAGAATATAAGTAAAATAACTTACCACAGAGACATCAACGTGCTTGATGTCGTCAGCCGAGTAATCTTTTGTAATTCTTCCACCGGTGAAGTCCACCATTTCGACTCTAAAAACCTCTCCAGCTTTTATGTCTGCAACTGGAGGAATCTCCGGGTGCCACCTGTTGTGAAATGGGTGCTTTTGTTCCCATGGCTTCTTCTTCAGGTCTATTGGCACTACCAATCGCGGGCCATATTCCATTTTTACTTTAAAACTTTAGCACAGTTCTTTGATGGCAGAGCTTTTTAGTATGTTCTAAGAAGAAAGAGATTCCCCTGATTTGCTGTGGTTCTAAAGCAGCTTATCATCTTCAGATTGAAAATTGACAGCCATTGCTCGAACTACAATTGTGATTTTTTCTGGCTGAGAGGATGGACCGCCTAGAAATTGACTTGGGCAACTTTTCTTCCATGGTTATTAGAGGAAAATAATAGTAACATTTATTCTTAGGTTATCTGTGAAATAAATGAATCATTTTTTCCTCTCTGAATCATATTATAATTCATTTAGAAATTTATAGTGTGAAATATAGAAAAATGATTTTCAAGTGAGATTGATACAATCTATGATTTTCCTCGTAGTATCACTAAACATAGTAAATTGAATTCAAATATCTAAATTTTAATTATATAATTTTACTGATAATAAATATATTGAACTTGTTGAAAATAATTTATTAAATCTGATTACCCTTCACCTATTTGATTTTAGTTCAACACATAATTAACTTTTTTATTTTGATTAACAATTATCGTCAAAGTCATGGTTAATTAAATTGTGCCCGAATTTTCTTGTGTCATCGAACCTTTAATTTTCTCATTGAACGCTATTTTTTCTAATTACGATTTGGTTGCTTTGTGATTTAACATCGTACGTCTATTGTAATCATTTCTGGTATCTCTAGTTTAGCACCAATGAAGAGCAAGTGAATAACTTCATGGTTTCTGTGTGTGGTTATGAAGAAAAGTAAAACAAAACGAATGAAAGAAGACGATGAAATGGTGCGATTGAGGTCCGTTGTTTTTGTTAACTTGTTCTGAGATGTGAGTCGGGTAGTTTTGAAATGAAGTCGGTGTACTTGTGTATTATATTAAAGCTGATTAATGTTTTTGTAAAATTTAGCATTAATTGAAGTGTATAATTGGTGAAAACCCAAAGGACTTAAAAGAGTTTTGGGCGGTTATAGAGAAAATGCATCATGGTATAGCTTCTCATCATTTAGGGAGGAAACAAAGTTGAGGTTAATCCAAAATTGGTTCATGGATGACCCACAAATCGGAATCTTTGAGATATTGCCTGCATTTCATTATGATTTGATCTTTTGTTTGTTCTTATGGAGAAAATATTGCCACTCCCTTTTGCTTTAACAAGGGGATTGGTCCCAAAAGCAAGTAGCTGTTCATCAGAAGGCTGTACACGATATGCCCATAACTCATTTTATTTACTTCTTATCTGGGATTTTTTTCTTTTTACTAGAACAAGAATTGAGGGCATATTAAATTACATGGTTTGGATCGAAAGTGAGAATTGAGAATGAAAATTAAAAATCTAGTATTTTCTTACCATGATTGAGGGTATTTATAGGTTAAAAAACAGATTTTTTTTTTTTTCTCAAAATATGTTAAAATTTTCAAAAAGAATAAACAATTTTATTAACATCTTATATGAAATTTGATTTTACTAAATAATAATTTAGAACACAGTTGTTTGTTGTGAGACACATAATTTGAGTAGCAGATTATCTCTCTGTCTCAATCAAATCTTCTGGGTTAGTTTAAAATCAGGTATTGCTTGAGGTATTGGCTAGGTATTATTCCCCCACATCTTTAGTTCTATGTATTCAAAAGAAAACAATTAATGATACTGAAAGGAAAATGTGATGAGATTGAAAATAAATAATAGGGAAAAAGGAATTATGATGACATATGTATATATATTTTTTTCTCTTGATTTAGATTTGAGGGTCAGAGTCTAATCATCCCAGCCAAAGATCAAATCCAAAAAACAAACATAATTTCAACCAGCCATTATGGGTGTTTTCTGTATAGGGGAAGGTTTTCTACCAATAACAAGCCTTGTGCTGCTTTAACCAGTCCCGCACTCCTTTCCTAAGTTATATAACCAGGCAATTAGGCATAGCTTTATATACATACATACATACATACATATATGTAATATATAATATATAATAGAGTAGATGGGGTGGAAAAAAGGTGAATGAATGGCATTGAGACATTATCTTGATTGAGTATTTTATAAATTAAGATAAAATTTAAGTTAAATTAAAGAAGTTCATCTTTTTGAGTTAGGTAAGTGAATTAACATGGCCAATAGTACATTTCTCCCCACCTGCCAGTTTGAACAAGTAAGTAGAAATTATTTTTATAATTAAATTATAACTTAAGTGGAAAAGGTGGCATGATGATTCCCTTGTCTAATTAATTACAATATTACCTAACTCTGTGACCTCCAAATTTCTCTTGATTAATCAAATACTACCACCTCTATAATTGGATCTCCCTGTTTGAGGAATTAAAATTATGCACAAAACATAATTTATTCTTATCTTTCTTCTGGGTATTCTGTAATTTAAATAAATACTATGTAATTGATTGAGAGTCTAATTTAATGTTAATTCGTTTTTTTTTTTTAAAAAAAAAAAAGATTAAAGTTCAAATTGATTATAGATTTTTAAAAAATCGAATTATCTGATAGAAAGAATTTAATAATAAATAATATAATATTTATTGAAGTATTATAATTTTTTATATTTAAAAAATAAAAATTAAGAAAAAAAAATTGAAAATGTAAATTATTGAAGACCCAACAAATTTAATTTATTGTAGATTTAAAAAATTATTATAAATTAATAATTGAATTAGTTCGAAACGAATTCGACGTATCAAAATAAAATTTTTTCTCGATATAACTAGCAAATATTTTATCCGAAAAAATCACTCTAAGTTAATTAATAAAAATTGCATCGTGTTTAGAATAAATGAAATTTACAGCAAAATGTATAATGTTCTTCAATAACCCATTTTTTATATTAAACGATTCAAAACTATAACTTTCGTCGGTATAATATACATGCCGTTTAATGATTGTATTTTAAGCCCATTAAATTTGATAAAGTAAATGGTACATTTAAAAAAATAATAATTAAGAAAATTTAATAATTATTATGAATTATTTTAAAATATAAAAATTATTTATGAGTAAAAAGACATAAATAAATAAAGATAACGTAA